ACCTAAAGCAACTGCCTCGAACTTTACAATACAGGAAAATACTTTTAAATATTTTGTCTATGAGCCGTAAGGAAGAGAAAACAGTGTAATAGTTGTGCCTTGAAATACCTCTGAGCTTGAAAAATATTATGGATGCAAAAAATTTGGATTCCAGAAGGCAGAGAAATCGAAACTGAGATGGTGGTTAAATTTTTTAAGCCTTATACTGCATTTTAGGCAGCTTTTTTCCCTTCAATTAACAGGGTAATTATAGTAAGTATAAACAAAAATTTATATATGGAATGACATTTCTGTAAATTTCCAATTTACTATTTTTTATTATATTATGAAACTTTAATTTTGCATGATCTCCACTGGCTGCTATGGTTACTTTTGCTACAAAATTATTGTACGCTCTTGCTGTAACAGTTTCCACACAGGACTGAGCACCCAAGGACCATACATGCTACAAGACCATTATTTTGTTAGCAGAACTAGTACCTGTATTTCTAAAAACGTGAATGTGGCTGTTAATTTGTTCAGCAGAGAAACATAACTCCTATGAGACATTACTTTTCAATTCATATCATAGGCCAGTTCAATTTGGGCTTTTCATACATAAATCCGAAAACGATCCACTACACAATCTGGTTTTTGTAACTTTAAAGACTACCTTCCTCCAAATATTCTGCTCTGGCTTTTACTAAGTCTGAAAAGAAAAAAAAAAAAACCACAACCCACCACCACCAACAAAAACAACAACCAAAAAAACCCCACCGCAAAATAAACAAAATAAACATGGGATAACAAAGCATTTTCTGCAGAGGTTTGTCAACCCTGGGGTAAACTTCATCCTTTGCAAGGTAGCTGCAGGGCCTATGTACAGAAGCACATAAAGAATTGCTTTAAAGTGTGGATACACTTTCAGTTTGCAATGACTGACAAAGTTTAGGCCTTTCACTTCTGGTTTCTGCCCTACTGCCTCCCAGAGCAGATCTCACTCGGCACTGTTTCCCACTTCAGTGCAGTGTTACCTGACACCAGGGTTTGAGCGAGGTTTGACTTCGCACTTTGGTGAATCAGGATCGTCCCTCTTAGTGTAACCACAAGCAGTACAGAAAAAAGTACCAGGTCCAAGTGCAGTAAGCACTGTTCAAATCGTACAAATATTACACATAGGGTTTAATGTGCAATCAACATAAAAATGTAAAACTGAAAACACAATGTTACAAGCTCAGTCAACCACACAAAGATCAGAAAATGTTTAGGAACACTTCCACATCTTCCTTTAAATTAGATTATATGAGATTATTTAGCAATGCTTATGTATCATATTTCTCCACCTAAATCCAGAAGACACTTGGCTATGCTATTATTTTGGAAAGACATTTAACTCAGTACTCAAAATGATATGGAGTTATTTTGTTAACTACATCAAAATAGCAAAATGTTTCTAATTTGGACACAGGAGAGTCAACCATACTGAGTTCTGAAAAAATCATTGTTGGGTCATTTAGATGAATCCAACCCATCAGCAGCGTCATCCTTTTTCTCCAGCACTCTTTCCCTCCCACACACTGATCAATTCCATGCTACCTACTTTCTTTTTCCTTTCATACCTCTTGCACAGTCCTTGAACCCACCATTAGCTTTTTAGACAGTTAAAAGAACACTTACTCATAAATTCCCTGTCAACAGCTGCTTCTCTTCCAGCACACAGCAAAGTTTTCCCAACTTCTCTTTGGGGCAAGGATGGGGTGTCTGGATGCGTGTTGCTCAGGTCAAAGCTCCCAAGAGGCTGAGCAATGGAGACAGTACTAAAACTCTGATGGTGCTGGCTGTGGTTGCTGCAGCCCCTTGTGATAAAATTCTTTCCTGAGAGCATAAAACGATAGTTTTGTTCTAAGAACAAAAAATAACACTTAACACTGGTGCTTTAATGCACAGAGCAGATATGCTTTTTATTTTTCTTAACTTTTTTCTCTAAATTTCCACTTAGCCTTTTACCACCTAACACATGTAAGGGCAGACTTTCCTTTGCTCCTTTGCAGCCCAGTTGTTGCTGCTGTAAGATGATTTTTTTTAAAAAAATATATGCCTTCCTTGGCAAAATTACTAGACGCCACACAAATTTAACTTGAAAAGTAGCCTACTAAATATATGAGTTCGTTGCTTGCCTCAAGGAACACAGAAACATATACCATATCACATGATATCCATATCATGATCACAGCAAAACTATTCTTTCTTACTTTCAAGAAAACTTACTGAGTTCAGCTGCTCATTTTATGCTCCATACCTGAAATAACACTAACATAAACCTTCCAAAACAGCTCCTATGGTTTAGACATTAAGAAATCACCCAGATACCCTTGAAAACACTCTCTATTCTATACAACTTTGGGGTCTTTCATGAACTAAAGTTGAGCAAGAGTTGTTCTAATCTTTCTAGGTGGAAAGATTGGTTATTAAATGCATTAATGGTTATTAAAGGCATAATAGAATTGTCAGAGCACAAGAACTGGACTAGCTGTTTTCCAAAGACTGCCTTCCTGAAACAGCAATTCAAAATGAATATGCATATCACACTTACTGTAACAACTGGATAAGCTTTTATTTTAAGCCACTTTTCTGGAATTTCAATATGAAATTAATTACCTAACGTCAACATCTACTCTGCAACTGACATCTGCTTCTGAATCCTTGTTATTCTTGGTCTTTTTAGCAAACGTTATCTCGTCATTACATGTATCAGAAAGCATAGAGGAATAAATTCCAAGCCATATAATAACCGTTTCCTCTGCTTTCCTATATACAGATAGTCTAAAAGTACTGTTTATTTGCTTAATGTTTAGTTCTCACTCAGACTTGAATACAGTAATTCCCTCTTTCTGCTAGCGTGACCCTGGAACAGACCAAAGACTCAGTCTCAAAGAAGGGACATAAACTGAAATTTAGTTGGGATTCAGATGACCAATTCCAAAACTGCAATATTTAATGCTGTTCAATTTTTTTGCACTAACACTCCTAAAGTACCTAAAAGTCTGCTGCTGTACAAACCTTCAAGCACCTTATTAATCTCAACCAAGCTGGAAAGATTGGTTGAGATTATGATTGATTTCTTATGCTGGCAGCAACAGAACAGCAACTCCAACTGTCTTGCCTAGGGGCCTTGATTTGGTAGATGTTCTTAGGACACACTTCGTAAACTGCGTTGCATACAAAGTTCATTGGTAACTGCTTTTTTCTGTTACAAAATGGCTAGATGCAGCCCCTGCGCATATAATTGTCTTCCCACTTCTCCACACCCTTCGTACAGTATCCCAATGAACACTGAGCTAAGATACAGGAAGCTGGAAGGACAGTGAAGGAGGGGTATTTAAAAGAGTAGCATTCTCCTCCAAAATCACTCCAATTACAGACCCCAGTCTTCTTTCTTAACAATGCTCTGGGATGCACAGAAAAAAAATTAAATTCATTAATACAGTGAGAAAAATAGATGTTTGATTCTTTACAAAAGCAGCATTAACTTCTACTATATAATACACAAAGGCTTCAAGTATATCAGAAAGATAAAAGTGCCTGGGAATGCATCCAGGCAAGCAGTACGGAATAGTTCACATCCACACCGGCAACATTTCCTCTGCTTTTGAGCAGGCTGGCTGCAGGCAAAGTGCCTGTTGCGAACAGTGTTTGGAACAAACTAACTCCTGAACTGGGCCTCAAAACCATTTGGGAGTTGCCAAATGACCGCAACTGTTCGCACAATACAACAGTCCAGGTTAATCCTTTCCTGAAACTATTTAAGGCACTGTTTAATTTCCTACTATATATCTGGCCATCTGAAACGGAACTGAAACTGCGAACACTCCGGCTTTCACTTCCTCAATTTCTCATCTAGGGCTAATTACACATCACAAAAAACAACTTCTTTAAGTACTCTTTTCCGGATTGCCATGGACTATTTGGGAAAAAACACTCTCTCCCCTTTAGGCTGATTTTCGTTTGTCAATAGTATTTTTTGAATAAATAGATTTCTCAGTTCTAGAAGTTACAATGTTTATCATAAATATTCTGCAAGTGGAATAATTTAGAAGAACTAGTGAAATTTTCAAAAGCCTATTAAAAAGATATGAAACTAAGCTCATTTTAAAGTCATTTACACTTGGTATAAACTGAAGTTACTGAAGCAAGGCAAACTGAACTCATCATCTGGATGGTCTTAGCTTGAAGAAGATACCAGCAGAACATGGTAGTTTGAATATCAAATTAGTTACTTTGAATTATTATATTTACTTTTTAAGAACAGACTAAACCCGGTATCCCAGTTCACATGAAATGTAAAATCTCATCCAATTAATGGCACTAATCCCAAAAGCCCAAAACCTTTTTGGATTCCAAGCACAACTGGCTGTCAAAGGGACTTGGGTTTCTCTGAGAACACATTACTTATCAAAATTGGACTGAAGTTTTTAAGTCTGCTGGGCAATTCCGAAAAAATTGTTCAGTGTCATTTTGTTTCTTATGCACTCTGTTTCTTATGACTACTTATCTCTAAAAAGAGAGTAGAATACCCCCCTGGTTATTACCATTGCTTGGGCATACTGGGATTTCCACCAACACAGATAATTCAATATGATTTGAAGATGTACATGAAATTAAAACTTATGCTAGTGTATCTGAGTTTGCAACAGAAAAAGTATCAAAATAGCTTATTAACTTCACTATATATCAAATATTTTAATGTAAAACTTTACATAAAAAATTTTAACACAGCAACCAAGTCATTATTAACTATTCTCTTCACACAACAAACTTGTGGAAGAAAAGAAGTGTACTTCTTTAGGGTTCATGTATAGGTTCTAGCACTACTTTTATTTCAAGCCCAAGATCTGTGACAATCATGTACCCCGGAAAAAGCAATCGGAAAGCAGTAGAGGAATTCTGGGATTTTAGTTCTTCAGAAATCACTTTCTGATGCTTTCAGTCATGGCGAATATTAGATTTTAAGTGGTACATACCCAAAGGCTCTCCTTCCTGTGTTGGTAACTCCAGGTCACTGGAAACTGACACTTCATCAACAATAAATTTTGACAATTCTGTCCCAAGATATGTAACCTGCACAAAGAAATCTAAATGGATAACTCATTGATTGATTTAGTGGGGGTTTTTTTGATAGGTGTAAAAATTTCACTTTTCTTATAAAATGGAGTTTATGCACTTATCAGTCTAATTTGTGTCTGCCAAGATTAAGGAGGAATTCTGCTAATTTGAGTTCTAAATGAAAGAAAAAAATCTGCAAGCACAATACAGTCCATGTGCAAAGCCCTCTAAACTCTGCCAGTATGTTTGCAACGTTTGTCTGTGACACCCCGACATTTCAATAAGCTTGCTCCTTTTTATTCAAACTACCTTTCAGCTTTTTGTATCCCTCTGAATCATTATTAAAAGGAATGTTTTCAAATACATTAATGGCAACAGGCAGTTTAAAAATAACATGGGCCTATTACAGGATGAGGATGGTCAGGTCACAAACAGGGATAGAGACAAGCCAGGGATGTTTAACACTTTCTTTGCCTTTGTCTTCAACATGGAATACACACCAAAGAGGTCTCAGTGCCCTGAGCTGGAGGACCATGACTGTGAGAACGATCAACTCTCAGTCAACCCTGAAATTTTGAGGGATCTGCTTCTCCAGCTGAATCCCTACAAATCTGTAGGGCCTGATGGGATTCATCCCAGAATCCTCAAAGAGCTGGCTGATATCATTGCAAAACCTCTCTCAGTGATTTTTGAGTGGCCTTGGGGTTCTGCAGAGGTCTCAGATGAATGAAAGCTGGTGAACACTGTCCCAGTTTCCAGGAAGGGCAAGAAGGAGAACCCTGGAAACTATAGGCCTGTCAGTCTAACTTCAGTGCCTGGTTAAATTATGGAGATTATTCTGGGAAGTACTGAAAAAAAACCTGAAAGACAACAAAGTCATTGGTCACAGCCAGCACAGCTTCATGAGAGGAAAGTCCTGCTTATCAACCCGATTTCCTTTTATGACAAGGTAACCCTCCAAGTTTATCAAGGGAAGCCAGCTGATGTAACTTTTCTGGATTTCAGCAAAGCTTTCAATACTGTCTCTCACAGGATCCTTCTGGTTAAAATGTCCAGCACACAGCTGGATAAGCACATCATGTGGTGGGTGAGCAATTACAGGGTAATAGTGAATGAGGTAACATCAGACTGGTGACCTGTCACTATTGTGGTTCCACAGGGCTCCATCTTGAGCCCTGGGCTCTTCAATATCTTCATAAATGACTTGGAAGGAGGACTGGAAGGGATAGTAAGAAAGTCTGCAGATGATGCAAAACTGGGAGAAGCTTCTGACTCCCTTGAACGCAGGGAGGCCTGAGGACTGGGCAATCACCAACCATATGAAGTCTAACAAGGGAAAGTGCCAGATTCTGCACCTGGGATGGGGCAACCCTGGATGTACAGACAGACTGGGGAATGAGATGCTGGAAAGCAGTGTCAGGGAAAGGGACCTGGGGGTCGTGGTTGATGGCAAGTTGAACATGAGTCAGCAATGCCCTGGCAGCCAGGAGGGCCAACTGTGTCCTGGGGGGCATCAGGGAAAGCATCACCAGCTGGTCAAGGGAGGGGATTGTCCCGCTCTGCTCTGCACTGGGGCGGCCTCACCTTGAACATTGTGTGCAGTTTTGGGCACCACAATATAAGAAAGATATTGAGCTCTTAGAGAGTGTCCAAAGGAGGGCAACAAAGATGGTCAGGGGCCTTGAGGGGAAGCCGTATGAGGAGCAGCTGAGGTCACTTGGGGTGTTCAGCCTGGAGGAGACTGAGGGGAGACCTCATTGCAGTCTACAACTTCCTCATGGGTGGAAGAGGAGGGGCAGGCACTGATCTCTTCTCTGTAGTCACCCGAGGGAACATCCTGAAGTTGTTTCAAGGGAGGTTTGTATAGGATATGAGAAAAAGGTTCTTCATCCAGCGGGAGTTGGGTGCTGAAACAGGCTCCTCAGGAAAGTGGCCACAGCACCAAACCTGACAGAGTTCAAGAACGGATGATACTGTCAGGCACAGGACAGTCCTGTGCAGTGAGGCCAGAAGCTGGACTCAATGATCCTTGTGGGTCCTTTCCAACTTGGTATATTCTGTGATTCTGTGATCTTTAACAATATTCTTTCAAATCCCTGATAGCTCACAGTGCAAGCATTCCACATTCTTTCAACACTTATGAGTAGTTCATCTCTGTTCAGCTATAGTAATGTAGCTCTATCATTGCTGCTCCCTCAGTAAAAGTAAGAAGACCTTTTAAAATTTAGGCTTGTATTCTTTTCTGCTTTAAGAAGTGTACAGAGATCTAGATTAGTGAAATTTGTTATATCCATTTATTATTGCTATTTTTGGCGGTAAAATCAGGCCTACCTTATTCCACACATACTTCCATGTCACAGAAATATCACTTCCTAGTAGGTCTTTAACCCACTGAACTGGATTCTGCAGTATTCGTCCTTTACTGGTTCTGATCTTGCCATTCTTTAAGATTGTAGCTTTATGACTAAATTCCTAAAAAAAAATAATTTCAACTCATATATTAAAAAATACGAAATAACATTCTTGAAACATGAAAAATGCTGAAGAACAATATAGTTGAAAAGTTGCAGCTAACTCTCATTTTCTCTAAAAGTGAAAGAATTTATTGCCACTATCATAAGCTGTGTGATGCAAAATAAGAGGATTTATTCCACCAGAAAAAGATGTTGTAGCCAATAAGAGGACAAATCTCCCTATGTGTTTATCGGAATTGTATTTACATCTTATTTCCTTCTAGACATAACAAGGCTTTGAATAAATTAATTTGCAACAGTTAACTTAGGCACTCACAGGAGGCAAGTCAGTGTAACAAGGAACTGCTACTCAAATGCAATCTGCCTTACACATATGGAACATGCATGTCACAGTGAAATTCCAGCAAAATGCAAAGATGAAATGTATTTGCATAAAAATTTCCCTTATATCAAGGGATATAATTTATATGTTTTAGGAGGAACCTGACAGTCTTATCTTATGCAAAATTAAGTCTAAAAGAACTTATTGTTAATGCTCCTTTGATAATGTAAATACAGCTCAGTTCTGCAAACGCAACCTCCAGAAGCACAACTCATTGTGCTTAATAATTGTTTATAATTGAGCAAAATAAATAACTGTTAAACAATTGTTTATAACAGAGCAAGTTATGGTTTTGTCATATTGGTCTTGGTTAGACTAACAGAGCTAAACAGTGGAAAAATCAGCTGCTGATAAACTCTATTAGAAGTTAGTAAGTCACTTATCATGCATGAGGTTAAATAAATAAATCAGAATAAGAGGATGATCCAGCAAATATTGAACCACCTCCTACCATATCCACTGGCTTGGGGTGCCCGTAAGAATTTAAATTAAGATGATTAACCCAAATGTTTTGATGAGCACTCAATCCAGTTCACAGTTTCACAGCCTAGGCCTACAGAATTCAACAACTGCATTCAGCCTGTCCAAAGCTAACCATAGGTATGGACTATGCACCAGCTGTATGTTGTTAAGTACATCTCTATAACGAAAAAGGAAAATTTATTGATCATCTCCTCTTTGCAACGCAACAGACACTGGTTTCTAAATTTCAATCTCTATAGCACATTCTTCCAAGACATAAATGAATGTCATTTTCATCCTAGTAAAGATCACTGACTTTTCTACACTCTGAACACCAGAACTTCCACAAGGGGTTGTAATTCCTTAAGAACCACATGCATCAAGCTGGTATCAAAGATAACTGTCTTGAGAAATGACAGTAACCATACTGAATTCTTCATCCTTTGAATTAGTCATCTTGCAGTTCAAAGGAATATTATATGTTCTTTAAAGAAAAGAAGCATGTCTACATACCTGTCATACAGACCACGGTAGAGCCTTGTGATTTACACTGTCTTGTTACTAACACAAGACCACATGAAATGGCAACTCTCAGCAGAAAAGCATTCCCGAGCAGATTACAGGTGTAGAAAAAAGTGTCCTTTCTACATTAACTGCACCTGGTGAGCTGGCTGAAGAGAACCTTTCATGTTTTTATCAATATGCTGCCCTGCAAATAACTAGCTCTCATGTGGGAATTCAGTCAATAATTCCCTCATTTGCTCAATACTAAACCAGGCCCCTGCCAGCTGCCTTGCAAATCCGCTCTGTATTTGGAGGGACATGGACATGCTTTTCTATTAAAAAAGAGGTTTCTTTTTATTTTTTTTTATTCAAATATGATTTGTATCAGACTGTAAAATTAAAGAACCAGTGAGCCTACAAGCAAAAAATTTTGCACGTATTTATGCCTATGAAATCCTTGATGTCACAATTCTTTATTTGAGGGACTTGCTTCCAAAAAACACATTAAATCACAAAACCTTTACGCTCTCACTCCTTCCTTCTGGTTCTAGCAGTAGAAAATATTAACAAACTGATAATGCAAAGTCAAAACCAAATTTTATACATGCAATAGTCTGTGTGTTATAGTTACAGGTCGATAAAAGATTTCATCCATAGCATTTTCCTTTAAAACTCATAAACAATTATCTGTAACCAATGAACAAACACATTCAATAATGAGTGCTGAAGAAACAGACTGAACTATGAGAACTGCTGATTTCCCATTTTAGTGTGTGGGTTTTTTTCATGATATGCTAATATTAATACTATTAGATCTCAACAATTACCTGCAGTTTGAATTCTAAAACATTTTCTCCTGGCTTAATCCTTCCCAATTCAAGCAGATCTATCAATTGAAGCTTTTTCTTACTTCTCCGTTCATACCTCACTTGTTTTTGTTCCCATTCCTGGTTACTATAGCTCTGTGAAGATTTCTCACTAACATTTACTTGAGAATCTCTATTTGAGGTAAGATTTGTAAGCACCAAGTTGGTATTAAATGAATTCTCACTACTCCGAAAGACCATTTGCTGCGAAGTATTAGGGAAGTTCTTCATTGGTGTTAAAAAATTTACTTGCTGCTGCTGGAAAGCTTCTTTCTTGTTTACATATCTGTGTAGATTCCCATGTGTAATAACCTGCAGGAAGTCACTGGCTGGCTGACAGACATTCTTATTCACAATATTTAATGTGTTGGTCACTGAAGTCGGATTTAAAGACTTGTTTCCTTGTTCTGCAAATGCTACACAATCAATGTCTTTTTGCTGTGAGTATCTTGTTTTAGCAGTGGAAACAGTAGGTTCTGAAGGCAATGTCTGCACTTCCGCAGTGTTTGTCAGCTTCGACATGTTGTCAAAGGGATATTCTCTTACACTGTTTTCAGATGCCAAAGCATGATCAGAAGCCTCTTTGCTTCTAATTGCTTCTTTATTTGCTCCTGTCTCATCCAAACAGATGTGTGGATGCTGGCTGCAGTCCTGAGCTGAAAATCTATTTTCTAAAGAGACATGTACTCCAGCTCTGTTTCTATTAGGCATGCTGGCACAAAGCCCCATACTAAACGTAACTACATCAGGACATACGATTTCATCAGCAGTTAAACTTTGTCTTACATCATTTCCATAGAAAATAACACAGTTTGAGCTTTCCTTCTCTGAAGATGATGAACTGAACATTTGCTTTGTTTTTCTGTAACTTTGTATTTTCTGCACTAATTTTTCCTGGTTTTGGGCAAGAGTCAACAGACTCTTTTGCCTAGAAGCAAGGTTAACTAATTGTTTCCTCAGTGCTCCTTTTTTGAAAGATTCCACTGAAGCCCTATAGAAAATAAAAAAAAAAAAAGGACATCAGAGTTACTGTAAACACAAAATAAAGACAGTTTAATAGATGTAACCTACTAAGAACAGGAATATGTTTCAAAGGACTCTGACAACACCTAAAATTTCAACAATATTTTTATCCTGTGTGAAGTTTAAAGTTCAAATCACAGGCTTATGGATAAACTGCAGAATCTCACAGCAGGATGTACAAGTAAGATGCAAGTAAGAATCCCATAGAATTTGGATGGAAAGCATCAAAACAACCTTGTACTCCTATACCACCCTCAATTCACAGAATCCAAACTGGGTCTATATTATAACTGTCTGCTCTTTTATTACCACAAATAATAATAGTTCACTGAATTCAATGCCTTTCAGGTTCTAATCTGGAGCCTTCTAAAATGAGTTCAGGACGAACTACTGAAGGGTGATACTATCAGAATTTTTTTATGGTGCACATAACAAAATATTTTGTGAAGCTACACTAAAAGTACCACATGACCATTAAAAAAAGAGAACAGAGCAGTTTAGGATTACCTGCAGGGTATCTGCAACACCCAGAAATATTTATCACTTCCCTCTGGAGCAGTTTCACTCTCAGTATTAAAATGCAAATAAATTTGTGTAGGTATTAATTTTACAGTCCTTGTTTCTTAATTCAGTCACTAGTTTGTTCACAAGGCTAATTTGGAACCCGAATTCCTCATAATTTTTTTTATTATCTGGTAATTTACACATTACATTTTATAGCTGGCAAAATGGCTCATGGTAGAAATATTTCAGTCTCTGCTCAACAGCCTGTATGTTTTGCTATGAGTCTACCTGGGAGCTGTACATGCTGCTTTTACATAATCAACCAATTCTGCTCACACAAACATTATGGAGACATCCTCAGAAGCTGGCCTAGAAAGCATCCATTAAACAGGATGCTATATTCTTATCTCACCACATGACCGGCACTGAGGTAGTCCCTCTCAGAAGGAAGAAAAAAGAAGCCCTGTGAGAGCTAGAGTCATGAAGCTGACAATTCACACAGTCCACGCTCACACTAAGGTGAGCACTCCTATCCTACATTTGAGTTGTCCTCACAAAACATGAATGTCTGCACGCATGCTTCAAGCCATTTCTTTCAATGGCTTTTGTGGGCTCTTGGCTGAACACTCCTAATCTAGGGGTGCTAAAGAAACAAACCAGAGGCACAGACATTCCAAATAGTGTCTTGAGTTGCTACTACTTTCCCTCATGACACAGCTCAAAATTAATGTCTTTGTTCAATACCTCCATTTCTTAATTTCTTCTTAAGTATTTTTCCACACTTTTTGCATGTTCACTACTGAATTTCAATGCTCACTGTGTGCACAGCAACTGATTTGTATGTACTAGCTCAGCTGAAGTTCTTCTTTGATGTAAACGCTTACTGGAGGCAACTGAAACCAGTGTGGATCATGCTTCCACAAAATCTGAATGAAAACCACATAGATTTACTTTCATGCCACTCCTAAAAACTTCTAACACCACTTCTAGGAAGAACAGCTTCCTATCAATATAATCCCTCTATTCTACTTACCTGTATTTTTTAGCAAGGGCATCCCTCTCTGTTTTCTGGCTTGCAAGCAATTCATTCAAAGTATCTTGTATTTGAGACAGCCTTTGTATGTACACATCTGTTCAATAGTTTGAAATAATCAAAATTATGATGGCAATAAGCAGTAGAAAATAATTACAGTATTATCCTTTTTAATGTAGCAAATACATAGCCAGAGTATGAAGATATAGTTATAGCAGTACCTTATACTGTCATGCATACTGATAGCTCTTTACAACTGGATTACTTTGAATGAAATTCTTCAGAATTAAATGCAAGTTTATCTTAAAGAAAATAGTTTGTACTGGAAAATTTTGAAGTGCACGTACTTTGTCTAGATTAAAGAACTGCCCTATGGATGATAAGCACTGAAAATTTTGAAGTTCTTTGTGTTGCAAAGAGCTACCTACCATGACAATTATACTGAGGATACCTGCAGAAGTTACACAGAAGGTGCATAAAACTTTTATGTTTGAAGTATTATAAAATAGTTTAATGAACCAAGACTGTTCTAAGTTACACACAATGATAAAAGCATATCTATCAAGTTTTCACAGTTTCAAACCCATATTATAAACCAGAATGATAAATTGTCCCTTTTGGTTAGTTATATTCTTCTAAATTAAGAAGAACAAATATCAACTCCTCTTTATATACCTTATCTCTTAAGACATATAATATAAGGGAGGTCTAGAAGTCACAACCAGTGGATACCACCGGGATAATTTGCTAAACATGCTTAAAGTCTACAACAATCAGTGTAAGCTTTTCTTAATCATGAAAAACGAAATTATAGGATTAAAATTAGCATTTGTAAAATCCAAACTGGTTTTACAGCATCTACCAGATATTTACTTACTCAGTAATACATACATACTGCTCTTATTAAGGCAGCTTAATAGCGAATTTGAATCTGTTATTTACAGGAGGTTTCATGCACGCAAATACCTTGAGATTTTATTCTATGTTTTAAGTTTGTCAATGTACTTCCATGTTCTTGTTCAGTCTTGTGCCTCTTCAGTAGTAATGATTATGACTTAGTTTAAGATGTGCTATATTATTAATGCTTTTGCCAGTAGTGGTAACAGAGCACCATGTTCATTTCTCTCATACTCCTAAACAGGAGAAGTCTGACAATTCCTTTCGATCTTTTTATGAAATTGCACTTATCTCTGTCCATAGGTTCCTACTTATTGTATCATCTACCTGCTTGTCAAACATTTTTCAAGAAAACATACCTATTTTAATTAAGAGTTCATACATCACAAATTTGCTAAACTATAAATCTGCATACTTCCATATTTCACATTTCTTTTTAAAGGTAAAAATTTATTTGTAAATATAATTTGAAAGCTCCACCCTATATTCAGGAAAATAGATTTAAAAACAAACCCTTTCTTTCTGTCACGAATCCAGACTGTTTCATGGGCATGAGCTGCTCCAAAGTGAACAGCCCTGCCTAGATGGCAAAGGCAGCTGGGGAGAGAGGCCTTCGTCAAAGGCATTCCTACAGCAAGCTATGCCAACTTGAAGAGTCACGGCACAGACACAACAGACTCCAACTGCTTCACAGCAGCAGCACCATGATCTCCTAGGAAGTCACTGTCACTTAGTAAATTCTAGAGATTAAGCTGAACTGAGATTTGATAGCCTAAGACAAATTACACCTCTGGGCATCAGCATTTCTGAAACTGTCCATCATCCACAGTGTTTGCTTAAAGAATTCTCTTTTTTCTATCATAAATTATTTCAGGCTCCTGGAAGTCCTGCCACAGTAGACTGAAAATGCTGCATCTGCTACTTTACATACAGACATAGATGTTCTTGATCACGGAGAGGCTCATGTACTTGTAACTGAATAATGCTGCCAACAGTGGGCATTCTTATCTAATGATCCATTTTCATATATTCAGTTCACTTGAGATCTGTGCCTCCAAGTGGCATGCTTACCTTTTTTGTCAAAATATTCATTCCTATTTAAACTGGAAATACTTCAGGAAGTGCACTTACCTGAGAGATGCCATTAAAATCTTATTCTCTAAAGATATATTTTCCAGAGGAGATAATCAAAATATATTACATGCAATAACATTAAAAACAATTATATAACCAAAGATATCTACCCTCTAAAAAGAGGTGAAACACTTGAATTTATGTCTACCTGCATCTTTGGAAGTTGTCAGTTCATATATCAACAGTTCTTTCTGCTTCTTTTCTGTATCTTGTATGGCAGCAACAGACTTCTGTTAACGAACACAAAATTACATTAATAAGCAGAGCCAAGTGCACCATAAAAACAGGCCATGATACATGGCCTGCAGTTTAAATATTGGTGGACTCAAGTCACTCCAGGCAGGGAATTACTATGTGAAGCGAATGGGGCGCTGGTAAGACAGACATACATACTGTCAAGGGCTTGCTCTGCAAGGGGTTGTCACAGTCTGGTTTTACCTAGGCATTCAAACTAGTCCATACTCAGAGACCCACCTCTGAGCACACTGCAAGGATTAGACAGTGAAATTCAGCATGACAGCATCACCTAGGCAATGCAGATACAGCCTACAGATACCAGCAAGAGCTCTCCTGACAATCTGTGCAAAAATCTTCCTGGTTGTTTTACATTAAGATAAACGATTTCTAAATACCTTCATCATGAAGCCAATTCATTACTGTTTCAAAAAGAACCCTTTTGGAAACATGATGAAAAGCCTCAGGACTCATGACATTTTTTCTATTCATATAACCAGTAAGAAATATAAGTATTGAATACCTTTTGCACAATAAATGTAAGTGCACAGGAATCATTAAAAGAGCGAATAATAAACACACTTGTATATGTAAAACACAACTTACCTATTATAAACCTCTGCATGATGCTGTTTTTACATACATTTTAATGGATTAATTATTTACATTACATTTTTATATTATTCACTCAGCAAATGTCACTACGCACTACTACACTAGGAAGCAGTTTAACAAAACTCTGCTATCTATACTTACCATACTGTATTTCTCATGTTGTGGCTCCCAAGCTGCATCATCATTTTTACAGTAGTCAAAGCAACAATGTTCTGATTTCCTCTCTCCACAATTCAGAAAAAATAAATAAAATTTAATATGAACTTGCAGAAGCATAATAGGTTACAAAGATACAATGGTAGATCAAATAATAAAAAATATCTTGTATAAAAATGAAATCAAATTTAGGTACCATAAGGAAATAAGTCCTTAAAGTTAACACTTTGAAAACCACTTATTTCCCTTCCTGTGATGGGAAATATGGATAATAAGAAAATTTGAAGACCTGAATATTTTCTTAGACCTCATTCTCTCAAAAAAACCAAAACCCATTCATGTATCCTATTTTCTGTAAATAAATTAATATAATTCAATAGTTAACAGAGTTAAAAATATCAATAGCAGGCAATATGCAGCTCCACAAATCAGCACTATTTGAATGTACATTTTTTAATTAAGACTATGGGGTAATACTATAATTTACATTACAAAACCAACATACCAGTACCTTCAATTGTCAGAACGGGAAGTAGAGAGTCCATAGCACTGTAAGACTTCAGAAGTTCTTTCATTTCTTCATTACAAGCTTGATCCACAGCACTTTCCCCTGCTCCATTCCTCTCATAGGGATTCGCTCCATGTTGCAGTAGAATCCTGACTGCCTATTATGTATTTTTATTATTTGTATTGTGGTAATTCTTACTGTGGACAACTATGTGTGTTGTATCTAACATAAATCACAAATAACACACATACAAATAAGATACTCTAAAACCTGTTACATTTGCAATCCAAATTAAACAAACCAGATTAACTGGCTATTATCAATACAGACTTCCATCTTACATTTCTAATTTTTCTATTAAAATACATAAATAGTTCACAAATTGTCATTAAACCTATCACTTTTATGGTACTGTTATACAAAGCAATTACAAAACATCATATATCTAAATTAAAAGGAGCCGGTCAATTGAATTAAGACCAAAATGAGAAAAAGAAGTGGATTTTTTTCTATAATAGCAGTTTCGGTTTTCTGGTTACATGAACTGATAATTTTTTTCCTAATTCCAAATAACTTGCAAATCTGCTTAATTGTAAAATGTGGAAATGAGATTAGTGGCACCAGCAGAATCATCTATCCCCTAAAATTCAGATTATATGAAAGTGCTGATGAGGTCAGAGCTCAGATGTTAAAGAATTTTTGTATGTTTGATTTCCCCATTTTAGCATTTCTTCTTATTTCTTACACTCAGAGTACAGTTAAGTATGAGAAAGTATCAGAAAGACAATATTGTCTTGAAGTTCAGAATGTTCTCCATTGGTTTTCCCTTGCAATACTGAATTATAAGCTTATATGTTTGCAAGAAACCTAATAATAGTTTGGCACCAGGTCTGTGATTCATCCCCTTTGTTTGACTGTTTTTCACAGAAAAAGATAAATGTGATCAAACATGTTCCTCTGACAGACATAGAAGCAGTATGTTTGAGCCAATCTGGCATTATCGTCTTTACACTCAGTTCACCAGAACTCACTCTGCCAAAAGAACACTTTATTTATTTGTGTGCAGTGCTGGGCCCCACAATTTAAGAATGATGTGAAGGTCCTCGAATGTGCCTGGAGGAGGGCAACAAGACTGATGAGAGGGCTGGAAGCCATGTCCTGCGAGGAGCCAGTAAGGACTTTGGGCTTGTCTAGTTTGGAGAAAAGGAGGCTGAGGGACAACCTGAAGCTACAGCTTCCTGAGCAGGGGAAGTGGAAAGGGAGGTGTCCATCTCTTCTCCCTGGGATCCAGTGATAGGATGTGTGGGAATGGTTCACAGCTGTGCTAGGGCAGGTTTAGACTGGACATTAGGAAACATTTCTTTACTTTGAGAAATGGTCAAACACTGGAATGGGCTTCCTGGAGAGATGATCAATGCCCCAAGACTGGGGCATTTGGACAATGCCCTTAACAACATGCTTTGATTTCTGGTCAGCCCCAAAGAGATCAGGCACTTGGACGAGATGATCACCATAGGTCCCTTCCAACTGAAATAGTCTATTCTGTAGAACCATTTTTAAACAGCAGGGCTAGAGTCTTTACAAAAAAGAATTTTTTTACAATGGAGATGGTGAGACACTGAAACAGGTTGCCCAAAGAAGCTGTGGACACCTCATCCCTAGAAATGTTCAAAGTCGGGTAGGACAGGGCTTTGGGCAAGCTGAGCTAGTAAAAAACTGTTCCTGCCCATGGCAGGGGGCTTTGTGGCCATATACTCCTCTGCTTAAGCCATAACCACCATGGGCAGCTGTGGTGGTTGCATCCAGCTTACCTGGACTTTGGGGGATGAATGGCAATAAAGTAGCCAAAGACTGTCTGGAACAGTGACCCACGTGTCTTGCTGATATGCAAATATGACTGTAAGTAAATCATCTTACTCCATAAACAGTGGACAGCCCTGGGCTCTTCAAGCTCTCCTGCACAGCAGTGGTCTGCACACCAGGATCTCCCCTTGAGTAGGGACATCTCTCAAAGGTTGCTCCTCAAGACTGAGAGATTCCTTGCCACAACAGATTCTCAGTGATTAACTGTATGCTAAACTTTGATATGTTACCTAACTGATAGAAAGGATTGATTGTGCACACATAATCCTTTAGATACAAACTGCTGACTAAGTCTGAGACCAAGTCTGGATCTAGTCATCTGAGATGGAGTTTAGAAAGCAAGGGGGTCCTTTCTGGACATCATGACTCAACAGGAGGGTCCCCCTTCCGGTTCTGTTCCTGTCCTCTATGCAGTAAATAATCAAAGTATCTTGCCTCAAATCTTGTTAAACAACTGTCACATTTACCAGTGAACTTTGCTAACTCACTCTTTTCTATCAATAAAGTATATTGTTTCTTCTCTCTTACGTGTGAAATGCATCACTCCACTCTGCAGCATCACTCCTCCCTGCAGCAGGGTTGGACTAGACAATCAAACCAAGAATGCTCAATTTTAGTATTAAAAAGCCCAAACCTGGGAGAAAACCAAAAGAGGTTTCTGAATTTTTATGATCTGTCTGCTGTACTAAAAAAGGCAACTAACTGTACAGTTTCAACTGTCACTATTGAAAAATATTTCTTTCTCTAATTTGGATCACTTTAAAGAATCCTACTTTATTTCCTAAATGCAAATCTACACTCAAATTGTATTAATAACTTGAATGAAAAGAGGATTTTGCTCTGCTGACCCTCTGCTAGATATCAGCTTCAGGAAATCTTACGAAAAAGAAAAATGTACCTCCAAATAATTGCCAGAAACAGCATCGTGTATTGGTAAAACACCATCCAGACTTCTGCTGTTGACATCAGCACCTGCTTTCAGTAATTCTAAGATCACATCAGTAAATCCCCCATTGGAAGCTTCGTGAACTGGTGTCCAACCTAATAAAGGCAAGATGACACACAGCATGCATCTGATTTGGAAAGATCCATACAGATCGCTTAGTAGTGATTATACATTTTGCTGCATTTAAGATAAATCTTATACAAATAACCATCTTGAAAAGCCAAGGTCAACTATTTTCTGTGTAATTCAGTTTACCTCAGAGAAAAATGTAACCAATATTAAGCAGAAAATATACTGCTTTCTTTTCTACTACAGTACTAAAAATAATAAAAGAAACAAAACACTGGAGCAGAAAAACTCTAGAAATTCAGAAGCACAACATTAATAGTCTCATTTCTAATCTCACTACCATTGTATAATATTAAGTCTGCCAGGCATCTAGAATAGAATATAAGGCATTTTGAGAGTATGAAGACAGAAATATGTTATACATTTGGGCAGAGAAAAAAGAAAAGATAATCTTGTCATCTGGTTTTTGTCCTTATTTCTTAAGGAAATAATACCTGTCTGAGTGTGCTTCACACATATATATACATGTGTATGAGCATTATTTTTCTCACCAAACTTTCAAGTTCACTTTCTGTAAACATCTCTGAAAATGTGTTCTTCAGCAGAGAAGCAAGACCCTATTAATACCCCTGCTGAGAAAAGGTCTGCATTACTTCCATGCTGAGACACAAAATCCAGGTATTCACTGATTGTGCTTGCACTTGTTTAATGAATTCCTTTTCTCCTCACAATTTTAAGTCAAGAATCCATATTTATACTACAAATTATGTAAAATTGTATCATAAACAATCACAAAAAAGAGTAATTTTCAAACCTGCATAATCCTGTTCATTGACACAAATTCCAGATGATATCAGCGCCTTCACCAAGGACAAATCTCCTCTCTTAGCAGCAATATGCAGCTGAGTTTCCCCTTTTCCGTTTCTCTTCATTTTCTTCTTTTGTCCAGTTCTTGAATTACAGGTAGTGTGTACAATTACAGGTTCTTTTCTGGTAGATTCTAACAGCGTATTGGGTGTTCCTTAAGAAATTTTTGCACAAAGAACGTTTAATTATAAACAGAAAATTAAGCTTCATAACTCATTTGAATTACTGTAAATGTGTGCAATACTGTTGCTTTAATTAGTCAATAACATTAACTGACTACATCAAAAGGTTAAAAGGTAGTGTGTAAGAGCTCAGACAACAAACAGACCCCAAACAAAAGAATTTAAAGTGCAAATCTAGATGATTTAACAAGGGTACAACAAATGTGGGATGAAACAAAAGTTAACAAGGTTAAAGTTCTATACTGTATAGAGGTAGGGAGTATGTTATGTTTCTTCATGGACTGCTTTCAAGCTACCAGGCGTGGCTGCTAAACACATAAACTACACACATAAATGTATTTAAGAAACCATATGAAACTATATCAGTTCCTAATTCTGTATCGGGAAAAGATAGATACGTGTGTATACAACCATACAGGGGTACACAGGCTATGTTCCCGTTAGAGCGGTTTGGGCAAGTCTTTCATTTCCTGCTTTACTATCGCCTATTTATATACAATCATAAGGGGATACCCAGGAGCAGCCCTTTGTCCTGCCCACTCTTTCAGGACGTAACAGAGCAAAGCAAACATATCCGGAACATGCCGAGCCTGAGCAATAGCAGCAGGTGAGCCAAAGACAAACAGACAAACAAACCGACCCACCATTCTGGCCCACGTACACATCCCAGGCTGGGGTGCTTATCAAGGCCCCAGCTTGGCTGGTATCCCAATCACTCTAAAGGAACCCCAGTATTCTCCCTGACCATATCCTTCCTCCACTGTGTTACCATGTATCTGCAGGTGCACTGCACACCTGTGATACTTCCTACAGGACTGCCCCTCTCTCCCTCCCGACAATCATAAGACCCCCATGGCCCGCCTGATACTCCTCCCCTCTCTTTCCCACCCCGTTCCCCTGTACCCCCTCCCCCTTCCCCCCCAAACTTGAAACATCAAACCTCTGTGTGCTCCGAAGCTGCTCTTTCCTCTTCCACGGGTGTGCAGCAACTGCTGGCAAGGCTCCCCCGCTTTGTCTCTCCCCTCCTCTGCTGCGACTGCACCTTTAGCAAAAGCATATAGTGCTTTTGGAAAACTCCACAAAAGAGTATGGCATAATAAACACTTGAAGAAAAGCACCAAGATCAGTGTTTAGAAAGCCATAGTGCTGTTGACTCTCTTATATGGCTCCGAATCATGGGTCATCTACCGCCAACACCTGCGTCTCCTAGAACACTTCCATCAACGCTGCCTCCGTACGATCCTAAACATCCACTGGTAAGACTATGTGACCAATACATCTGTTCTAGAGCAAGCAGCAGTCACAAGTATAGAAGCCATGTTGCTGAGAACACAGCTGCGCTGGGCAGGGCAGGGCACGTCTCCAGGATGAAGGACCACCGCCTCCATAAGATCTTGCTTTATGGTGAACTTGCCACCGGCTGCTGCATGAGAGGAGCCCCGAAGAGAAGATACAAGGACTCCCTGACACAACATCTCAGACTTGGCCATATTGATCAACATCACTGGTCTTCTCTGGCCTCCAATCGGGAGGCCTGGAGACACACCATCTATAACACAGCTGTCTCCTTTGAGAACACACGCAGGATCACTCTCGAGGAGAAAAGGCAATGCAGAAAGAACCGTGTATTGCAGAATATATCATCTAAGGAGTCTTTCTGCTGTGCCTTTTGCAGTCGGATATGTCTGTCACATATGGGCTTCATAAGCCACCAGCGTGCCTGTAACAAATGTGGATAGAGCCTTCCCAAATCTTCGTTCACGAAGCCTAGCCATGAATTCTGAAACTAATTCAAATTATAAATTCAAATTGAAATACAAAGAAAAAACCAGATTACCAAAGTACTGATTATGCATGTAGAGTAAGGACAACCCCCTTCTCAAACTGCAACCAAAAAGACAAGGTATATAAATCTTCAAAAGCTCTATCATGCATGTCAGCTGTTTAAAAACTCCTGTACTTTTCATTTTAATATCATGCTATCAATATTTTCTTAAAAATTCACAGTGGTCTTTCTCTGTTCTCTTGAAAATCTGTAATTCATTCAAAAAACCTGAAAGTGTAAGGTTTAAAACGAGCATTTTGCATGCTCTTATTCAATGTCAATTATTCCTATGAACAATTAGTTGCTGCATCTTCCTCTTCTCATCAGACAAGCTGTTTTCTCAAATATGTGCGGTCAGCAGCATCCATTGGTATCAAACATCTTCCATGATTTGACAGCTGCCTTTCTTCAGGCTCCTCCTGCACTCTGGAAAATTTGCTTTTCCAATGTTTCCTTGAAGGTAAACTACTGACCTTGTCATCCAAGACTATTTGCAAGAACACGAAACGATATTAGAGACAGATATTCACTGAGGATAGATCCATACTAACTTTAAACCATCCTGTTCAGGCACTGCTCCAGCCAGACTATGGCAGCATGGAGCTCACTGTAGGCTTTTCAAACTTGTCTGAAAGCATTCAGGTAGTCCTCTTTGCACTGTGGGTGCTTGGCCCACACTGTATTGGCAAACAGAAAAGCTCAAGAGTTCATTTTTAAAATGAAAACTGAGATTCTAGAGCACACAGAGCCATCACATTATTAAAATACTTCTCCAATTTGAGACCTACTTTTCCATAAGATAATGTATTGTGTTTTGTCTAAAAGCTTCTGGGTCTGAACTCCCAAAGCAATCATCTGCTTTCTGGTTCTTCCTTTTCTTTCCCTTTGATTCATGGGAGAATGTCCAAGGGACTGTTTACAGACATTTAAGAAAAAAAAGGCACACAACACCCCATTACGCTAATGACCCTTAGCAATACTGGCAGCCAGTGAACAGAAATAATTGCAGAGTTTTCCAGTTAAACTGCCATGCACAACAGTTTGCTTCACGGCTGTTAGGAAACATTTGCAAAAGCATAATGGGACACTGGTATGTGAATCAAAATACTGGTTCTCTGTTGGATGCACTGCCAGGTGGGTCATGAGCAGGAAAGATCCAGATCTTGGCAAAAACAAAGTCCACTCAGCACAGTATAAAGATAAAATGAAGAGATTACAGTAACCAGCAATCAGGCTAGATCAGGCTGACAACTTCAACTTTGTGCTTAAAAAAGACATTTGAATACCTCAACATTGGTCTAAGAGCAAGGTTGAACTGTAAGAAAAGAAGCAAACTGTTTGTACCTTCCTTCCGTATAAGCACATTAGGAATGTTGGGAGCCTAGTAAGTGACCGACTGTAGATGACAGCAGCTCTGCATCATTTCAGAAGAAAAATTTTTATTCAAGAATAGAATAATATAAGGAAGAGCAGTGGGAGGTAGGAACAATCAGATGACATACTGTGGCCAGTTAATGAAGAAAAGGCATAAGAGAGTAAAAATCTGAAAACTCCAAAAGTAAGAAAACATTATCCCATCTTGCCTTTTTTCCTACTGCAATCTGAATGTCATTGTCCTGGACCCCAAACTTATTAAGGCCTTCAACTGTACAATATACCTTCTTGCACCGCCTCTCAAATGGCAACACTCTCCTGGTACAAAGGGAATAATTAAATTTTATCTGAACAAAATATTACCTGAAGAATCTCTTTTGAGGAAAAAAGCAGCCTGGGAAATGCTATTTCAATGGAGACCAAAATATAAGACACACATTCAGAATAAAGTTTTTTAAAATCATAATTTTATATATAGGAGACAAAAAATAGAAATAAAAAAAATACAAAACTGTATTAATGCACACAGACCTTATTATAAAGGATCAGCAGAAACATAAGAGCTACAGAAAAGAACATCTATAGAAAAAGGAAACATTTCTACGTTCAGTGTTTGTTCTCCCAGTAATTAGCATGGGTGATGACATGTATTAGCTATGCCATGGATTTTTTTCCAGCATGATTTAAAAAGACATTCCTACAGCAGGAAGAACAAAATTTAGAAACAGGAAAGATAAGCACTGACACTACCAAGAACTGGAAAGCAGTAAGTAACAAGAAGCATCTACTCCTTTCCTTCTCCCTTCAGCTTCCAAAGGAGAACACAAACTTGCAGTCCAGAAACTCAAGAGAGCAGGGATTTAAGAAGGGTTGAAAATAAGCAACCACCTGAGACAGGAAGAGGGAAGAGTGTTCTGTACCATTGAAGGCAGAAGACAAGAATCTGACTATCATAGAGAAAAGGATCAGCAGGAACTTCAAACAGTTTCTTGAGTGTTTTTTGTCATGTCTAACAGGACACTGCAGAGATTGGCTGATGGCCCCTTAACTTTTAAGACTAGTGAGCATCCAGACGAAACTGAAGTCCCCAAACAGAAGGAGAGTACTCATCAAACAGAAGTAAAAAATGTGCATGTTGATGGTATCTGAGCAGATGTATTTGTCCATATTGTGTGTGCATTTATGGGGGCTGGGTGTATATTTGTTATATTATTACATAACCATGCTCTTATATACACTGGTTTTAAAGAATTTAATGCACATAGGAGCATGAATCCCATTGCCTTACAAAATATACTTGATGCTAGCATTCATTTACTCATTCAAAGGCAACCAAGGTTTGACCAATAAACCCCAGCAATGCATAACTGCAGTTCAGAGAAAAAACTTAAATTTTTTGCTGCACACACTCGGAAAAAAAAAATCAAATGCTATATCCACACACATATGCATTCACACATGCTTCTATAAACCTATATAAATATATATATAAATCCACCTTTTCCTATGTATGTATATGCGTACATTTATACTGACACAGTAGTTATTTGAAAGAGAAATTTTCAAAGAGCTGAAAACAGTTCTAAATTAAAAAAATTGAAGAAAAAATGTCAGCAGAAAAATATTAATAACAGCTAGGAAGTATTTCACAACATATCTCACACTCAAGATGAAAAGCTGCAGTGATTCAAAAACTAACCTAGCTTAGGAAGGGAAATACAAAGCAATAAAAATGAGAAATTAAAAAAATGGAAACGAATAGTAACAAGTATAAATAAGGAGTTGTAGAAAACTGATGTGGAAAACAAAAGAACACAAGGAAATAGTCACAGACAGCTGAAGTCCTAAGAATGTGCCATTTTAAAAACCTATCAAAAACCTAGAAAAAATAATTCCCTAAGTTTTATTTGAAAGACAGAAAGAAACAAAAATTGAAAAGAGATCATCGTTTACTTTACATATAGAACATGCTGTTACATATGTATAACTTGTCTACAATATTGTGTGTAATAGTACTTACCACATTTAGCTTTCTAGAAAAATTTTAAAGCCATAAGGGTTTTATTTGAAACTAAAACATAACAATATATAAAATATTTATAAAAATACTGGAGTCTAATCTTTGTTGCAAACAGCACCTTGCACAAACCAGAAATGGCGAGAGTAAAGAGTGACATTGTACCTCCAATTTTTTTGAAGATTAGTGACCTAAATGATTCTTTTTGAAACTTAAGAGGAACCCCTGGCTCTTCTCTGTAACACTCCAAGTGTGATTCAGGGTACTCAAGGAGTCTCAGAGCAGCAGGCTGAGGGTGCTCACTAGCACCCCATCCACCTAACTTGCATATATCACCCAATGGCTTGTCATGGGCAATTCTGATATTGTCCCAGTCCCTCTTCAAGTACGGTTTTGAGCTCTGTCAATGAGCCCCACTAGCTTAAGAGCAAAGACCCTCTTCTTTCTCTGAGAAAGGTGAATGCCATCTGACACCAGCAGGCCTGGTGACATGTAAACCATCCCATTACTGAAAAACCCAGAACTGTGGCAGTGACATCAGCTATGGAGCCATGTTTTAACAGACTGGCTTTGTCTGTTTCTTCCAGTGTCGCAGCTTACAACTGGGAGAGTGGAAAAAATTTATCTGTGCACCAGATTCCCCTACCAACTATCCCAAGGTCCTGAAGTCTCTTTTGATTCTCCCTGGACTATGCATTGTGGCTTTACTGCCACCCACATGGAAAAGCAATAATGGATAATAATCCAAGGGATGGGGACTCCTTCAAGACTTAAACATGCCACAGCTCACACTGGCCAATGGGTGTCCAACAGTCTTAATTCTAGTTCTAATCAAGGCTTATCTCGTGACACATCTTTGTACTTGCTTCTGATCAAACAGCCTTTTCTGAACCTTCTTCTCAACTTAGTTCCCAAGACTGTACAAGACCCAACTTCTTCCTTAGCCATAATCACTAACTCTAACTCAACTATTTCCTTACAAACTCACTAGCTGTTACCTACATCCAGCCCAAACAGTAGCAGTTAAGGCTTGGCAACTCATAAGATCTAGACCTAATCCTAGATTCACCACTTTTTATCCTATGGATCCTTTACAATTCAGACTATATGACAGTTTAAAACCAAATTTTATCCCTAGCTCTAAACCATACCTCACCCATCAGCAAATCAAGCCATGTCCCATCTTCCATTTAGACAGACAATGACTACTGTGCTTCACATCTTCATTTCAAATTTAAAGGTAACTCCAGCCCAAGAAACAGCTGGACATCATTATCATTTATACTTCATCAATGTACAGCAACTGTGGAAGGTAAGGAGTGCTCACTGCTACTCAGGCATCAGACACTGAAGTCCATAGAATTACTAGCAGTAATTAAGGAAACAGTTTAACAGATGGTCTGAATTTCTCCATTTGGTGGTGATGCTATGACAGAATAATTCTTTCCTACCTGATACTGAATATCCCCTGGATTTTTCCACATAACTGGTAAGAAGTTTCCTCATAGATGGGTCAGAAGCTTCTTCTAATGCACACCTTCCCATTTTATTTTTTAATAAGGGATCAGCTCCATACCAAAGTAGTAAGTTCACCATCTAAAAAAAAAAAGTTTTTTAGATCATATCTCTTCTGGCAGTATTTTCTATACTCCTTACATAGGCTTCTCTCTCTTGTACTTGACAACAGGAGCAACTAAAATCAAATTTCTCTGTATTCTAGTTCAAATACCCTAAGCATTCCCCTAGATAAGGCATTATCCTATCATCTTATTTTCATTTTTATAAATTGTTCCAGTTGCCATTAAGCCAAGGTCTCCAAAAATACAGGGTAGGATTCATGGCCCCATAGCTCTTAACTGGTAGAAAATAACAGGGTATGAGCCAGCTTATCCATTTAGGACATCACAGAACACGTGGAGTTGGAAGGCTCCACAAGGATCGAATCCAATGCTCAGCCCTGCACAGGACCATTCCCAAGACTCACACCATGTGCCTGAGAGTATTATCCAAGCGCTTCTTGAACTCTGTCAGGCTTGCTGCTGTGACCACTTCCCTGGACAGCCTGTTCCAGGGCCCAACCACCTGCTGGGTGAAGAACCTTCTTCTAATATCCAACCTAAACCTCCCTTGACACAACTTCCAGCCATTCCCTCAGGTCCTGTCACTGGTCACCACAGAGAAGAGATCAGTGCCTGCCCCTCCTCTTCCTCTCACAAGGAAGTTGTAAACTGAAATGAGGTCTCCCCTCAGTCTCCTCTTCTCCAGGTTGAGCACACCAAGTGACCTCAGCTGCTCCTCAAGGCCCTTCACCATCCTCGCTGCCCTCCTCTGGACACTCTCTAAGAGCTCAGTATCTTTCTTATATTGTGGTGCCCAAAACTGCACACAATATTTATTCAAGGTGAGGTGGCCCCAGTGCAGAGCAGAACGGGACAATCCCCTCCCTTGACCAGCTGGTGATGCTTTGCCTGATGGCCCCCAGGACACGGTTGGCCCTCCTGGTTGCCAGGGCACTGCTGATATCTACTTCAGGAGAAAAGACATTTTGATTTAGATGTGTCGATTGTGACTCCTGTGACTGCAGAGGGGAGCTTTGACAGCTCTTTCAGATATGCAAGATATATCTGATCAAATGAAACCCATTCTGATGGCCTTATTACCAATATTATGATTTTTGTACAAATATAAAGCCTGATTTTGTTCTTATTCAAGAAATGACCTTTTTAGCAAAATGTTCAGCCAAGCTTTGCAGGCATGGGACATGGGAAATTTACAATCTGGTTGTTTCATTTCTGTGGGTAACCCTGCAATCTTATTCCACCACTAGTGGATTTTACTTGTACCTCTGCTTTTGTCCCTTCAGCATGTTATAATTTCAGACTGACCTTGACTCACATCCTCCACCCATGTGTTCGAGTCCCTCATTATTTCTAACCAGACTGCTAATGAGAAAATTGTTAGTGACATTTTCTCAATTCATACATGCTCCTAACAATAGAGTAAAATAAAATGGGGTCAATCAAGAGCAAACCTCTGGATTTTTTCAACCAGTAATGTTGAGAACTCTTCTTCCACAACTGTGGTCATACACACTTGCATGCTCTCCCCCTTAACTGTACCAAAAAATCTTTCCTATACTTACCATTTTTCCTGAAATAAATTAATTTGGCATATTGCAGGCACAGAAAGGAATAAACTAGTAGATAAAAGGCATGTTTCCAATCTACAGTAATAACTTCATGCAGCTTTGAAAAAAACAGCTTCAAATACTATGTTACCAAAAGTCTGAACCACCATCACTATCACTGTTTTGTTGCTAGTCAGAAACAACAAAAACTAAGTCTGACAGATCACTGCAGCAAGACAATTTTACTGATAGTAAGCAGAGACTGAGTAAATACAGCATCACCAGGTAGCACCATTCCCTCTGGACATACCAGCTTGTATAACTCTAACTCAGCTCTGTGCTGAATGATCTTGGTGTGCCTCAAGTGACCTAGTTGAAATGACTGTTCTTCCAATATCATTCTAGTTGATGGCCCCTAAATATTACTTGCAGAGATGTAGAGTTCTTCATGCATAACCATGGACATGGTGTGTCAGGTACAGTCACAGAACACAGAAATATTTCATGAACCCACAACAGTCTGTGATGCACAAGTTGAAAACCGTTCCTGGGGCTCTCAAGTCTCAGAAAAAATTATTAGCTGGAAGTCCACCCTTCCTCTTTGCTCCAGGGAGATTTGTGAGGAAACAGAATAAATCTCATCTCAGTTGCGTAAAGAGCAAATATTTAGGGGCAAAACACCCCACAAAAAAATACTTAAAAGATCTTGGAAATCAATAACTATTAGGCAGCAAACGTGCACTTCTAGAGAAAGAAACTGCAAGCAGATAAAAGGGACACGTAGAACTCCTACATAAATTTGGGTCACCCTAGAAATATGCACATACATGCCAGCTGGAGGCAAGCACTGCCAAACTGAAAGAGGATCCACAATTCAGACACAGGTTTATGAAACCACAACACTTGGCAACAAATCTTACAATTATTTCACATTCGCTATTCAGTTAACTTTCAGTTTTAAGACCATACAAAATATAAAGCTATGCCTTCATAACCCTCCATGCTACGTGTTAAAACAGGGTGTGCATGGCTGTGGTAGCGTGCCGTACATGTGTGATTATAAAATCATGTATTAAACAGTAGTAATCTATTCCTCAGTAGTACACTGTCCCCAACAGTTAGAAAAAACAATTAATTTCTCCTTCGGGAAAAATCCTGTAAAGCATGGAATGGTTTGAACAGAAATCAAGCAGGAAGGACTTGCAAGCTCCTGAATTTGCCTATAATCTGAAAAGATCAGCCACATGCAAAAACATTATGTGACCTTCTGGACTCAACAACAATAATTTGTATTACTAAATCATAATTTGTGTTCAATTTGGAATATACCTCATAATGGCCTTCTTTAACTGCATCTTGCAACGGTGTTATTTGTTCCTTTTCTGCAGCATTAACATCAGCACCTGCTTTCAAAAGCAGATTTGCTATCCCATAAAAGCCTTCCACACTTGCTATATGCAGTGCAGTCAAGCCTATGAAAAAGAAAAGCATGTATTTCACATTTGCGTAAAAAAAATTCTAAAAATTTATGTCAGTTTTAGGTTGCCTATTTGATAAAGATTTCAGAGAGTATACTGAAAAGGTACAAACTGATGCATTACAGTAAGTTGTATGAAGAAATATTTATGAAAAAGTCACAAGGGTTGGGAGATCTCTTGCTTTTTCACAAAATTTGCACCTACTGAAGAAGCAGACGCTTCTGTAACAACATTAGTTTTAGATTTGGTAGTTCTGTTACGAAATGAGAGAATTATTTGACCCATATCTTGGTAACTTCTCCTGGAACAAAACATATATGCTGTTTTAAGAACAACATAGTTTTTCATGGCACTCTTATTTATATAGCTATGCTGAAGAAGGTCAGTAAGAAGAAGTTACAAAAATAAAGACGTGAACTATTACCAAACAGAAATGTTTTTTAAGACTACCCAAGAATAATTTGAGTGTCCAAATAAATTAAAATTCTGGACTGAAATTCCATCTTCATTCCTAGCTATATGGAATAAGCTTCACAACAGAATTCTACTCTGTGGAAGAGGTGTTGAGGAAAAACGTGGAATATAAGCCTTTGAACTGAGTTTAGCATAGCCATGCATCAGCTCCTTAAACATGTAGGGTGAGAGAAACAAGGGAAAAACAGAGAGGATTTTCCACTTCCTATCTTCCAACTCTCAAATCAACATGCCCTCCAGAAGACCATTTTGATCAACAGTCTTACTCTTCAACAATTTTCCATTATCAGAAGGTTGTTGTCGGGGCCTAATTCACATACTAAATATGCGAATTAATAAGGCTTAATGAAACTGTTCTGCTACCATAGAGCAAAATTATCTTAATTTCACTGGAGAGAGAAATTCTCAAGGCTCTCTTATACACAGCTGAACCCGGAATATTGTATATTCCTACAAATTGTGTTTATTATGAAATCTGTTAAGGGGAGAAATAAAAGGTTCACTTAAGGGAATGTATTAATTTTTCCCTCAGTAAAATGTATCCTCTATCTGATACAATAATAAGGCCCCAAAAAACTGCACCTACAACACATTCAATTAATAATTCTTAGGGATTAGTAACATGAGGCAAGGATGCTGTGCATGCTCCAGATCAAGAAGAAACACAAGTTTCACTGCAACTGTTTTTCAGATCCCTTGAGACACTGTGAATCAAGACTCAAACTAAGAGCACAAGACAGCATTTCTAACATGCTGTTCATATCCTACATGCTGATGTCCAGGAAATAAAAAGGAGAAAAAAAAACCCAAACTAAACAACAGAAGATCACAAGAACTCAGCAAAGTACTGAAGCAGAATATCGTAGCACAGGAATAAGGAAAAATACTAGGCTAAAATATAGATAATCACTGGTGAGATGCTTTAAAGGAAGAGAACAGGTACAGAGGCAGAATATAATTCGGAACAATGACTCCCAAAGAGATCAAGATGAAAGTGCATGTCAAAATGGCACAGGTCTGGCAACTACTTCTTTCTGACTATACCTGCCTCATAAAAAAAAATAAAAAAAAAAAAGAAGCATGGCCAGGTTAACCTCTCATCTCTTCAAGGAGTACAACTAAAAGATACTTTGTGCAGCTGTGCTGTTTTTGCACTAAAAACCCAGCAACCAGAGCCTGGGGAATGAAGAAATCGTGGCCTGGCAAAATATTAAAAAGGCAGAAAAAGGAAGCAACTGTGACAGCAAAAACTAGAAGCAGTGCACTTTGGTATACTTGACTACTGTGGCTGCACTATCAGCACTTCTCTGTCGTCAGCATGGGGCTTTGAACCCCACCAACAAAATATTTTTTCACCTGCCTCTAGCACAAGTTAATATATATTATGAGTTACTCTGTTAGCTCAAACATCTGTACTCCAAAAGTCTGAAATCTGCTGTTGACCCAATCTATCTCCCAGTATATTCCAGAAGACAGATAATTTTTAACTTAATTTTGGACTGTTATGTGCCTGCATTATGCAATAGCCTATAACTGCAGAATGTGACTTTTTTCCTTTCCCACAGAACAGTTGTGAAATCCTAGCCACTAGCATGGTATGAAAACACTCTAAGAATTGAAGTTTTCTACCAAATGAGCCAGTTGTCTGAAACAATCTTCTCTTTTGTTGTGGAGATATTAAGGGAGGAGATGGGGAAGTGCAAATAAGAAACAGTCTTATATTTGAAAAAAACAAGTGATACTTAAGGTGCAAAGCCTTTGACACAGAGTATCACACATGAAACTGGATAAGGTGAATTGCTTCAAACAAAACATTAATAGCTGGCCACTATTTGTCATTCCCTTTTTTTTCACACCCAAGATGAAAGAAAAATGGAAAATACCAAGTAGTCACAACTTTCTTAGAAAGTCAGGACAGTGCCGAATTATAAAACTACAAGTTCCCTTAAGATCTAATGGGCAAAATCAAAGTCCCTGAAAAATTAAACTGAAGAATCTACATCTTGGTGTCTCAAGTTGGTCAGTGAAGCTGGCAAAAATAACCCCAACTTTCAAACCCATGAAGTTGATTATTTAATTAGGGACTGCTTTGTGATAAGTAGGCACAGAACTGTTGAATTAAGGCTAAGTAAACCTAATTGCATCACTATGTAATTTTTAAAGTGCTTACTTTTCCCTCCAAATTTTCGTTTCTCATATAGTTTTATAAGTAGATCTACGTATTTTACCATGAACAAGTACCAAGTGAAACCAATAAAAATATAGTAATCTACTGACCAGTAACAAACCTACAGTCTTGTACACTGCACAAACTTATAATATATGCTTTTATTAGTTACAAGTGAATACTTCATTGAAAATAGTATTTTAATACAACTGCAACTTACCAGAATAATCCTGAGCATTTACATTTCCACCAGCTTTTATGATCTTACGTACAAGGTCTACATCTTGATGAGTAACAGCTCTATGCAGTAAATTCTCACCATACACGTTCCTCCTGTGGATTGCTGAAAGTGTAAGAGGGCGAGCCAGACCCTTACCAAAGGCTTCTCGTTCTGAAAAATAATGTTAAAAGCTCTGCTGCACAGAAAAATACCTCTTCTCTCTTATTTTGGCACTTTGTATTACAGTTGGTAAATGATCTTTCTGAAGAAACAAATGCTCATTCAATCTAGTAGAAATGAGTATCTCAAAAAACACATCACCAGTTAAATAATAATACCGTTCAATAAAAGATGCCATAGGGAATTCCATAACAAAAATGCAATTGAAATGCAACACACAGAAATATGACTCTGTAAAGGTATGTTAACTTTAGACTTCTTCCTTTCTAATGACATTTTTGCAAAGTGCATTGCTTCCCAAAGGATGATAAAACTGCTATTCTGCAATACAAATCATTGTAAGGAGACCATCTCAATAACTAAGTCAGTTATTCAATAATTTAACTTTTAAGAAAACTCAAATTTATCAACCATTATTTTGTAACAATTTTTCTTTTAAACCTCTGCTTTGTGAGGAAGTTTTTACATTCGGATAGTGATTGAGATTAGCTCCCTCAGACTACCTTTTCCCATTACTTCACAACCAGCTCAGCCTTTTCTGCAAGGAGTAAAAGGTGAATATGAGGCCTAAATGTGAAAAAAATAAAATGTAAAAGATACTATCTTTAATTTTTAGTTTACTATTTTACAAAACAAATGCTATCTCCCATTATGCACTCATCACAGTTTTCATCTTGGCTGAAATTATTTCCAATACATAGATGAGCTCTTCTGTACTTCACTAGCAGTGCCATTCCAGCATCCCTTGAAACTGTGGTGAAGAGCATCCTGGCTACTGCATCTGATGAAAAACAGAGAGGGAAGAAAGAAGGGAAGAAGAACAGCAGAACTGCCTGTAGGAAAACACAGTACACGGCCTAGGCCATTATTTCATCTACTAATGAAAACCCTTGGGACAGCAGGCCACATACACTGCTCCTCTCCACAGGCTGTAGCAAGTGTGTCTCACTGGCCCTAAAACTCTGCCCAGGTGTCAGAAATAGACCTTAAAAATCGTAGTTCTTCTAGAGCTGTAACTCACGCAGTCTGATGTCTCTGTTTTGTGCATGGTGATATACTGTGAGCTCAGACTAATTCTCAAACTTCTTAAGTTCTTGAGTCTATGTAGATTTTTGGAATCTAACAGATATGGGTTTATTCGGGACCTTCCCTCAGTTGAGCACATGGACAGTCCCTCTCATCTACCTGCCCAGCCTTGCAAGACCTTAAGCATTTCAGATATGCAGTCACTAGTCAAAGCTGGTCTAAACTAGCCAAGCAGTTCAGGAGGGATTAAACTGCATAGATATATACAGAACAAGGCGCAGTTTTATGCTGCAATTTACCTGATTCAACTTCCTCCTTTAAGAGGACCTATTTCCCATCACTTCCACCTTGTCTTCCCTAGTGCCTTCCATGTGCCTGACCTTGTGCCAGCCCAAATGAAACTTAACTTATCATCGGGCTGTTTTCTCAGAGAATTACCAAACTAAGATGACTCATGGGCTTTTGATTGCTAGGTCTGGCACAAAAAGGAGATAAACTTCTACGCTGGTTTAACGCAAAGCTACCTCTACAGGCATTGCAACTCTTTCTGCAGAAATCATGCTAAAGAACCAACAGCCTATTATTTATTGAGCGGAAACTAGTAAGTCAGTTTGAAATAGAGGAGCAGCTACTCATTCAACTTTAAGTCTCATCAACATAGTGTTTCTATCATGAATACTTAAAATCCTGCAAAAGAGAAGGTTTGTTAATTGGAGGTAGAATTCTTCACGTTTTGTAAGATCTATAATGTAGCTGTTACAGTTCAAATACTTCCAAACTTTGTAAGATGTTTAAATGACTGTAGATTCGTGGATAAATCCCAACTAAGTGGCCTTTAAAAAAAACCCAAAAAACCCCACAAAAAACAACTTTTAAGATCCCAATCTTAAAGGTGCTAGAGTGAGGACATAAGTAAGGAGATTCTTTATCCTCCTACAAAATTCCTCAGTGAGGTAAAGAACTTGTCTGTATGTATCTTCAAAGGATGAAAAATAGTAATCCTTCTGTATGACAAAGCACATCACAAAGAAAAATACTTTACAAGATGCTCTGTAACTGTGGTAGTGAAGGCCCTATAATCCTGTAGACAGGATAACAACACCAGGCATTCAAAATAGAATAAACCGTTTTGTAGAGGCCAATTCTTGCGGATGGCAGAGCCCTGAGAATGAAGTTGCACACAGAACACTAAATGACAAAAGGATATATAAATGCGTGTCGTTTATATACTTTTTCACTCTGCATGAAAACATTTCTCTTCTTGTCAGAATACACTGTAATTTTTTTTCATATAAAACACTGTGATAAAAACTGCATCCTGAAAAACTCATGATTCTTAAGGAGTTTATGCAAACAAGTCAACTGTTAGGTTGCTAATATGAAGGTTTTCAGAAGTGAGGGAAATTATCAATAATTTTAATTATTAAAATCAATGTTTCTACCACCTTTTAGATAGAAATTCATGCCACAATATATTGGTAAGGTTATTAATTGTATTTGATTCAGTATAGTTGTTCAAATAATAAAATAATCTGTATGATAACAGCATAGAATATCTTACTCCGTTTGTTGTCAATTCTCTTGCTCCTCCGATTAGCTTCTGTATACTCATCCAGAATTATTTCTTGCCATATTCTGGTTTCTAGATTCTGCTTGTCTTTAGAAGTAGATTTCTGAATTTTACTGACAAGAGATTTGCTTAGAATCAACAAAATTATTCCCTATATAAAACAATGTTGACAGTAGAGGTAATAATATGAATGTATCTGATTTTAAAAGGAAGTAACAGCATGCAAGTACACAGGTTAACTTAGGTAGTACTTAATAAAGAGTAAATCAGAGGAGAAACGAACTTCCAGATCTTTTAATAAAAGGTAAAACCTTTACTTTTTGATCACTTTAAACTCATTCACGTGAGAAATGAGTATTTTATATGCATTGTATTTATTACATTAATATTTTTAAAAAATTAAGAATATTATGCATTAATTTCTCATGCTCAAAATCCTTGAGTTTGTTTCACATTATACTGCCACTGTGAGACATTCTCTGCTGAGTCTCTTCAAGTATTTTATGAGAGGAAACACAATCACAACCTCTGTACCTTCCTGAGGAGGTATCTCTCAACTTCTTCACTTACCTTGATATTGTTTGGGCTGTTTCTGCACATGCTGTAAGCTCCACTGAGTGTGAATGTCCCTCACCAGTTTGCTTTTTACTAGAGGTGGCATCCCAGTAATCAGGAATTACTTCTTTCTCTCTCTGCTGATCACAGGTTGTGATAAAAAGAAAGAAATATTACAAGCAACCAGTAAGCATGCAGTAAAACAAGAGCTGTATATAGAAGAGCTCCAAGAACACTTATAAATTGTACGTGTCTTCACAGACAACAGAGGTGTTGCTTAAGTGAATAACTGGATTTCTACAGATAAGAGAGACAAAGGCTGCCATAGGAGAGGCACCCCTGAAGTAGTGTGCCATACCATGTGCTCCTGACAGAAATAGCCAAGAGAATTAGGATACACAGAATCACAACTTAAAACATAAATCTCAGCTGGTTGACAGCAAACAAAAGTTGTTCTATCTGAAAGTTATCTGGACATATGAATTGACATAACAGACTCATTTCAGTTTCCTATAGACATGAGCTCCTGTCCTAAAAAGTTAGATAATGTTTTAGATGTCTTAAGGTGGCCCATCTTATCTCACCCTTGCAGATGCCTAGAAACAGACACAGGGTAAGAACCATGTTTCACTCGAAGTTCAGTGACTCCTAACTGAGAAGTTATTTCTAAAGACACACCATTCCTGAGCTACAGACACTATTGGTGAGATTCACTTTACTAACCTTCAGCCTTCTAAAAGCCAGGTAACTAGATGTCACTAGGCATCCTCATTACCCCCACTACTGACTAAGAGGAAGAGTTATTTTCAAAGATGATAGTGATTTACTCATCCTAGAGGGTGCAATTGATTTGTGTATACCAGAGACTTATCCTAACAGTAATGGAGAGAACTCCCAGCCTAAAGACAGGTCATCCCATGTAAGTTAATTTGAGTTACTTGAGTTTATTCCCTGTTTTAGCCAAGTGAGTGTAACATGCTGTCGTGTACCACTCAAGCTGCTGAAACCTGGGTACTCATTAGTTCATTACTACTTGAGTAATGCTGAAAGCTTTTAGGACACACCCTCAACACACATGCATAGAAATTCCTTCTCAATGACATGGGGGGACTTGTTAGTCCTTTCCTGGGATACTGACAGAAATGGAGAATTCATTGATTAATTTTTTAATTGACATATTTAGCAGAGAAGCTACCGAAGAGGTGAATTGCTTTCCCAGAAGTGGTCCTCCTGGATCAAGGGATATGGGGTTGTTTAGCCTGGAGAAGGGGAGGCTGAGGGTGGCCCCTATCACTCTCTGCAACTACCTAAAAGGAGATTGTAGTGAGGTGGGGACTGGCCTACTGGCCTCTTCTCCCAGGTAACAAGTGACAGGATGAGAAGAAATGGCCGGAAGTTGTGCCAGGGCAGGTTTAGATTGGATATTAGGAAAGATTTCTTCACTGAAAGAATGGTCAGGCATTTGAACAGGCTGACTAGGGAAGTGGTGGAACCATCATCCCTGGAAGTGTCCAAAAAACATGTGGATGTAGCACTTGGGGATACAGTCTAGTGGTGAACAGGGTGGTTCACAGTTGGATGGTTGGACTTGATGTTCTTAAGAAGTCTTTTCCAACCTTCATGATTCTATGGCACTTGGGGAAAATCAAATATGTTACTTTACAAAACTATCACAGCAGTACTTTTTGATGGTTAGAGAAGAAGAAGAAAACATTTCAATGAAAAGAAACCTCACGCTTGCTTTATAAGACATCATATACTAAAGTAAATGAGCTATCTAGCACCCTGACTGCATCTACAGGACAGGACAGGCTCTCCTTTTTAAGGGCACTTGTTTTACCACAACAAGAATACCTGGAAGAAACAAGAATGAGAAAAGACCAAGGTGAAGAACATACTGTTAGAATTCAACAGTTACTAACATATTAATTGGGATTTTTTTTCTCATTAAATTGCCTCCTTACTTCCTGCCTTCAAGAACACCAGGTGAAGACACAAAAAAAAAAAGCTAAAATTGAGTATTAATCGACAAGAGGTTATAGATACCCATTTCCACAAGACTCTGCTTCATAATCTTAACTGTGATTTTGAGTAGATTTATACATAAAGCTTCACACAGCTGTGCTGCAAATTTCAGAAATCAACATGTCACTTAAAAAGCTTTGTAAAGTGCTATAGTTCTGAGACAATTATATGACAGACCCTTCAGCACCTTGAAATTGCCACGTCTGTGGCACATTTTATTACATGCTACGATATTCAGTTAATACCACTATGAAAAGACAGAATTAACTCATAGGTTTTGGATGCTTTATACCATTGTGGGGAAGTAAAGTGGTTGTAAACCCACTTTAAATAGCTGGCTATACATAACTGATCATTGATTTGCAGCTCCAGATTATTCAAAGACAACACAGAGCAGACAATCAGATTATAGGTTTACAAGAGATGCCTATTACACTTTGTAGCATAAAGATACATCTCCTATATGTCGTCCTCTTTCCCTTATTATAATCTAAACAGGAAGAGATTATGGTATTGCTTTCCTTTCATGCTCTTCTCCAGATTTTTGCATTTGAATACAAATGACCTATTCCAGAACACCTTTGCAGCACAAGGCATAACAAGAAGGATCACACGCTGTATCCATACATTCACTGACTTCTTCAGGGGAGGACATGGACATAAAACCATGCCTTAATTTTTTCATCAAGTCTCACATAAGCACAACTAAATCAAATAAATACACTTCTAAACACATGTGTAAAAAATCTCCACTGAGTAACCTTTCCAGTCTACAGAAAAGACACAGCAGAATTTATTTTATAGTACTTGCAAAGTGTTTGTATGTTACAGCAGTGAGAACTGTGACAGAAAAAAACAGCACAGTATAGCCAGGAGAAACAACAGAACTGTATGGGGTAGGAATCTAGAGTTTTTGAAATTCCCATGCTGATTCCAGACTTCCGCATCAGTCACTGAATTAACTTTAACAGTATTTCCTGTCCCAGCAGGCTGAACTTTTTCATCACATGAATATATCAAAGCAGAAAATATACTACTGGACTTTTAAAACAAAAACAACTTAAGTGATTTAAACATGCAAATTACTGATGCCATTTTATTCTTTACTAAGATTCACATCTCTAAGTAATTTGGCTACTATAAAACATTTTATGATAAACAGGGATTTCCAAATATGAATTAAATAGTGTATATACTTGCTCATTTGTTGTCCTCTGAGAGTCGGATCCTCTGAAGGCATTTATTTCTTTCACCTGACTTGTAGCAAGTTGAGGGTCCATCATGTTTGTTATTTGTGTACAGTCATCATCTAATTGGGGAATGCTGGGTTCTGAATTTAGCTGCTCTCCCTCGGTGTTAAGCTGTCTCTCAACTGGCACCATAGGAGTGATAGGTTGTACCACAGATCCTGACAAAGCATCCAGAGGCCTCACAAGCTCTACCGGCAGGGCATCACTGCTCTCAGCTGCTGATGGATCAGTGGAAAAGGCATGACCCTGACACTCTAACTTGTCAGGCAATGGGTTTATCACTTTAAGTCTCTCAGAATCACCAGGGGATGTTAACACAGCGCTGCCGTCAAATCCACCAGTCTCTATACTCTGTTCAGTGAATACATCCATGAAAATCTTCCTTGGGGATGTCAGAGAAAGATTTGTATCATTATTAAGGGAATGCTCCTCTACTATGTTATCAATGTCAATAGTGGTCACACAGGTTCTGTGGCAATCATCTAAAACATGCTGAAATGTATCTTCTGGTGTCTGTTCATTTAGAACTGTTACGTCTTCCACAGGGCCATCTAGACAGAGGCTTACTTCTGGAGAGAGATCTTCATTACTTAATTTTTGTGAAATCTAAAAATTGAAACAAAAAAAAGTTCACAAAAAGTAATGGAACAACTTTTTCTACAAAGCATTTAATTAATATTCACTTTAGAAGTCATCTACATATATACATATATATGTATATTTTATTGTCAATTTTTACATAAACTACAAGACTCAAAGCCCTCCTTCACACAATTGCAAGAAGGCTTAGACTGAGGTCTCAGTTTCAAAAGTAGACCACTTCAGCTCTTGACTTTCATAGCAGTGAAAATCCAGAGCAAGAGAGACTAGATCTGTTAAAGATACTTTGTCATTGCCAGTGACCTGAGGGTATTAAAAGGCTTTAAAAGAAAGTAATTAAAAATTGCTGCCAAGTAGAAATAATGAAAATGAGTATATTCATAATAATAAAAAACACATAGTTAGTAAAACATAACATATGAGTTTTGATTATGTGTATCCCACACAAATGTGGAACATCTGTGCCTCACGAACTTCAGTTCAGAAGCTCAGGAGTTCAAGAAGTTTGCGTATTTGAGTTTCCACACTGAGTACAGAACACAAAGGCACAACTGTTCTCGGAAAAGTAATACTGCTTCTGTTTTTCTAACCACTTTGAGTTGCTTTCAACAGATGCACCTGTTTTTATACCAAGACATAGGTTTTTTATTTTTTTCCCTATCCTTGTTTCAAACGTTCTGCAGAAGAAAGTATGGTGCCTCCACCAACCTAAACCATATTTTTTCCATATAACATTTGTATATAATAGTGCTCTTACTTAGTAATACTAGTCTTAAGAAAATACCTTTCAATGCATTTTTAGAGTCTTGCTGCCAGCAAGTGGTAATACAGGGCAGTGCAAGAAACCTTTAACCACTGGTAACATGATTTCAATAAAGCTCACACACAGTAAAACAGGGCAGAAATCTGACAGCATTGAGTCACATTCAGTTTGTAAGTAAACATAAATCCCCGCTTCTTTGTTGAAAACTTATTCCTCAGGCAGCTGTTCCCTATCTTATATCTTTGTATGTAATTCTTCCTTTTTAAGTACTGACTATTTCTTACTTTGCTGTACTGAACTACCACTTCTCTAATGTATGCAGACTATAAACCAACTGCATAAAACCCCTCCACTGGCACAACTTTCTGTACTTGAAGAACTGTGGTATAAACAGCACGTATGTACATTACAAACTTCCTAAGAAAAATGCTCAGTGTAAAGGGCAGGTGAAACTTACATTTACATTAATGGAGAAGGCAGGCAATGAAGGATTAATTTTGCAAGATTCTAAAAACCCAAATGCCAACTGAAATCCAAACCCTATGTGTGATGTGTTCAAAAAACTTCTGTCCAATACAGATGCCTAAACTTCCTTAGCACTCATTTCTGTTGGTAAAATCCTGTGGGACTTTCTCTACAAATAATTCAAATCTGCAGAACATAAAAGAAGTTTAAACTTTCCCTCCCTAAAACCCATCCTCAGCTGCCACTTATGCGCAAAGACACTTAAAAGCCCCAGTGCCTAAGATCCCTGTACCTTCAATCGTCTCTTGAAAAGCAACAGAGGAGCTGCCGAAGCAGCAAAGCTGAGCCAGCTGTGACTGGAATCAAAAGTGGGAGCTCTCTCTTCTGTCGATCCCAGCCTGGTAAATATGGTTAGAAAATACCTAAGTTTCATTCAAATGAGGAACAGGATTCCCTCTCAGTCAGCAGTAAAGTATCAACACTGTGGTAAATACAGGTTCAGGACCATCTTCCACCAGAAGAGCTATGCTTCAAGCAAATTATTTTAAAAAGGGGTTTCTACATAAAAAATGTACCACTTCAGCATAATGCTGTTGATTATTTTATGCCAACCATGTCCTGGCATCTGTGAATCTCTTTCACTGGTCACACTGCTTCAAAAAACTTGATTTAAATCCCACTATTCTCATGTCTCAATTATTTGCAGTACAAACCCAGATCATAGTGCTCCTTAACCCAGGCACAAATTCTGGTGACCTAGCATCAGCCCAGAATGTCTTGTCTCCCTCTCCACCTTACCCAGTAAGCATGCACTGAGTAACAGCTGAGCACAGACACAGTCAATTCCAGCCTCAGCTGATTCACAACCTAGCACCAAAGGAAACAGGTAGACAGGGAAGTCAAGAAGAGGTTTCATAAAAAAACCAACTTGACCATGGATAAAGAAACTGTATGTTTATACATGTACTGCATCAAAGGCCAGTGAGCAAGCCAGGCTTTGCCAGGCCTTAGATGTTTACTTCTCCTTGCGCACTACATGAGCAAGGTTAAATCTGCCCTGGCAGCTCCAGCAGCCAGCAGGACATTCACATCACCTTGGTGTTGGTGAATCGTGACACACAAGGACTTTTTTCCTATATGTTTGAGAACAATGTGAAAATTATCAAGAAATTGTAGGCTTTTGGGTGTCACAGCCTGTGTCTTACAAATGTTACAACACAAAAAGGGAATTACTAATATTGCAGTATAAATAATAAGGGTGGAGTAGAAATATTAAATGGACTACTGTATCTGATAGCTCTGAGTAAAAGAAGTTCAGTTGTTCAATACACACATGCAAGAGAATCACTATAGAAGAATTAAGCCTTCAGACAGATCAACATTATCAGCTTCTGTAAGAGTGCTTTGCTGAAGACTACTGTAATATACTGGGACAGGAAGGCACAGAGAATCACACAACATTTGAGGGCGGAAGGGGCCTCTTGAGACCAACTAGTCTGACCTTGCTGCTCAAGCAATGTCAGCTGCAGCAGGTTGCCCAGGACTATGTTCAGTCAGGACATAGGTGGAGAATGCACAACTGCTCTAGGAAACATGTTTCAGTGTCTGACACCCCTTCTCAGTTAAAAAGTATGTTTTTGTGTTCAGATGGGATTTCAGATTTCACAGTTTCTTCTGAATTTGTGTCCATTTCCTCTTGTCTTATCAATAGGAACGACTGAGAAGTCGGTGTCCCTTATCTTCATTCCTAGCTGTCAGATGTTCATACACAGTGGTAAGATCCCCCTCAGCATTCTCTTCTTCAGGTTGAACAGTTCTGGCTCTATCAGCCTGTTCTCATATGGAAAATCACAGAATCACAGAACGGGCTGTAGTCCAACGCTCCTGCCATGGGCCAGAACACTTTCAAGTACATCAGGTTCCTTAGAACACTACTCAATCAGACCTTGAATGTTTCCAGGGATGGGGCATCTACCAGCTCTCTGGGCAACATATTCCAGTATTTCAACACCCTCATCATAAAAAATTCCTTCCCTATATCTAATCTCAATGGACTGTCTTTTACTTTAAAACTATTAGCCCTTGTCCTGTCACTACAGGCCCCAAGGAAAGGGTCTGTCCCCATCTTTCTTATTAGCCCTTTTTAAGCAGTGAAAGGCTCCAATGCAGTCTCCCTAGAGCCTCCTCTTTTCCAGGCTGAACAATCCCAACTGTCTCAGCCTGTCCTCATCATAGGAGAGGTGCTCCATCCCTCTGTTCATCTTTGTGGTCCTCCTCTGGACCCACTCCAACAGGTCCATGTCTTTCCTGCATCCAGAGCTGGACTCCAGTACTCCAGGTGAGGTCTCACAACAGCAAAGTAGAGGGTCCACCAGGATACCCAGGTCCTTCTCTGCAGAGCTATTTTCCAATCAGCTCGTCCCCAGTTGTACTGGTGCCTGAAGTTATTTCTCCCCAGATGTAGTACTTCACACCTCCCTTTGTGGAATGAGATTTCTCTCTGCCCCATTCTTGAATCTGTCCAGGTCCCTCTGAATGCCAACACAACTATCTGGTATATCACTCACTCCTCCCAGTACCATCTCTGAACTTGCTGAGGGTGCATTCTGTTCCATTTTCCGGGCCACTAAATGACGATGTTGAACAGTATTGACCCCACTATTGACAGACTGACCACAACAGAAATCAGCGTTGCTACGTCATCAAGGTCAAGAAAACCCAGCAAGACTAATTTTGTGGTGTCAGAATTCTATGCAGATTATCTTAATTTATAGATTTATCTTGTGTTTCCAGGAACACACAGAATTAAGATGCTCACTGACTCTCTGCTGGTTGTCAAGGTGTCCATTCTGCCCTTGCTGCAAATCAGTCTGGAGTGGCTCTTGGTTCCTCTCACTAAAGATCTTTCTGCAGGACTCAGATCGTGCCAGTGCCAACATCAGCCAATATGTAAAAAGTATAATTCACTGCAGTGATTATTTCCAACCTTCTTTCTCCAGGCTCCTAAAATATCCTCTCTGGAGATATTCTCAACATACTCAATCTGCCTATTCTCCAGAGGCTATTAATCAAAGACAATCTCTTTTTCAAGGCATTTAGATTTTGTTCTGTTGGACTAATTCTGTGCAATGAGAATGTTTCATTTAATAAACTTGGTATTACAGGGTTATATTTATAGCTGCATATTTTTCAGAAAAGAAAAGCCTAGGAGATTTCAAGTTGTTTCCCCTTGTTTCCAAGACAAATAATACTTGGCCCTGGTCATCAATGGTATTTGCTGCAAGACATGAACAATTTGCCATACTGATCTCAAATCTACCTTTGGTGAATTTTATCAAAAATAGTTGTTTTTTCCCCAACTATTACCTCAATCAGAAAGACAGTTACAGATAATCTATTCCTCCTCAGAAACCTTCCAAATGTAATGCCTTTCCCATAACTTTCATTGGTGGGAAACATTTTAAGCTACTCAAAAGTCTTCATTACTTTATCTTATCTTAAGTAACAGCCCTTACAGATTCTGTGTCATGATGATGACTTCCCCACTTCCCTTTTACTGCTGTGCTCCTACCCTTGTGTTCTGCAAGCTTAGGAACTACAGTTCTTACCCAAAAAGCAGAAAATAAAGTTTAGCTTTAAAGGTGTTTTCACCTAATGAGCTCAGTGACAGTTTCAACAGCTATGTGCTTGCTTTTTAAAATGAAAGAAACAGGCATTTTTCAGTAAAATACTCTATAATGCTAAATAAATTATATGATATTTTATATACATTCTCTTG